ACTGGATGCCATTAACTTCAGTGGAAAAATTACATTACCATAGGACCAGTATAAAGTCAAGTAAATTAAGATGTTTTGACAAATGTAATATTAAGAAGTATATCTTATTAGGCATTTAATATGCACCCGGAAGTTTGCTAAGTATGCTAAGTGTGACAGACACTAAGATGACCATGCGCATCTTAGAGTTAAGGTGTAGCTTTGCAAGTAATGCTGTGGTAATGGGATTCTCTGAGGATGCAGGCAGTGGCAACCTGCTAGGAAGGCTAGAAGTTGGGAGGGGCACAGTTAGAGTAACATTCTGGCAATCAGAGCATTGTTATTACCAACACTACCGGGGATTCTGCATCTTCTCTGAAGCACTAAATACAAGTATAACTGCTTTTATTATTAGATGAAGAGGAGTCAGTAAGAAGAGACAGAGAACTCAAGTCTCAAAATGGTTCTGATTTAGGGTCTATATTAAGTCTCTGATTGGTCTGTGAATTGATGCAGAGCAAACTAAAAATGACAAGAGACCAACCATTGCAAAGTATCTTCCTTCAGCATGTACCAAATAATCATGTTAGCTTTAAAGAGGGGAAGAATTCAGTGGAAAGAAATAGGAGGCCATTCTTAGCAAAACATTTTAGTCTATAAAGAAACGAAGCCATTGTGATCTTGTCGGAAAAATGAACTACATAAATCATTTTAAAATTAGAAATCTGCATATAGACCAGACTGACAACTATGCCTTGATAGGTGTTTCTATCTCAGCACATGTCCCACCACTATGACAGAGATCCTCTATATACTTACTCTTGGCTATCAACAGGAGCGTGAGTTAACAAGCCAGTTGATATTAATTAGCATTATGGGGCTGGGAAAATGGGAAAGACTTTCCTGAAATGAGCTAAACAGAAACCTGAAGGGCCTGGGGGCTGGACGCGGTGGCTCACGCCTGTAATCCCAGCATTTTGGGAGGCCGAGGCGGGCAAATCACGAGGTCAGGAGATCAAGACCACCCTGGTTAATATGGTGAAATCCCCTCTCTACTAAAAATACAAAAATTAGCCGGGCATGGTGGCAGGCGCCTGTAGTCCCAGCTACTCGGGAGGCTGAGGCAGGAGAATCGCTTGAACCCAGGAGGCGGAGTTTGCAGTGAGTCGAGATTGCGCCACTGTACTCCAGCCTGGGCAACCGACAGAGTGAGACTCCGTCTAAGAAAAAAAAAAAAAAGAAACCTGAAGGGTCTGTAATTCATCAGATCCTAGCTAAACACCTCCAAGAAGATTCATGTGCAATCATCCTAAATTTTACAGTAACTAATTATTCTTAAGGTTACCATTTCCAGTGCCCTTCCAGCTGAGAGAGTGAGATGGTCAGGAACAACTTTCTGTCTGTACTGGCTGGAAAACTATGACTCGGGAGGGTGAACTTTTCTCAGGTCACAATTTCACTACTTGCTAGTCACACTTAAGCTTAGAGATCAGGCACTAGGGTGAAATTAAATTCACTCATGCTGCCTTTCCAGCTGGTAATATCTTGCTCTGATCCTACCTAAATTACCCTGAACACAATTCCAGTTTATATCCTTGAATGAAAGAGCTCTAAGGATCTTCTTTTAAAGTGAATCCTCTATTCTGTGAGCACCTAGGCAGGGCACAGAGCAATAGGAACAAGGTCCCTTACAGTGCTGGCCTCTGAGGTGAAATCCAGTGATGCTTTCCTGCCTCTAAAACACGGGGGATAAGTGTGTATACCAGGTCAGATTTACTGAATGCAAGCAAGGTTGCCACAATAGGAAGTACGTGGTGGCAGGCAGATGGGTAGATAACGGTATCTATTTTCTCAGGGGCTACTGGATTGGGTAGTTAGAACTTGTTTCTTTTGTGACAAATTCTCCTTTCCATTTTTAGGCTTGCCCCCATGGCTTTCTGACATTTTAGCCAGCTCCTTCCCTTTCACCCACACACCCAATCACTACTTTGTCATCTCAGCAGGAGGGAAGGGACACTTTGATGAAGAGAACACAAACAGTTTACATATTTCGGGTATATACTATAATTTCTCCGATTTAGTCTGCCAGAAATTCAGTCTGTGCCGAAATGACACCCTTCCCCCAACCCATTCCATTCAGGACAACTGCAGAAGAATGTCAGGCTTTTCTGTCCTGTCATTCTCCGTGTCTTTCCTTCACATAATACAGGAGGAATGTAAATCCGAGTCAAAACTGAATGGGAGGTACAAAGGAATCTATATTTTTGTCGAAAATAAGACAGCCCTTCAGTACAGGGAGGCAAAGTGGCACAGAAACCAAGTTGCACACCAAACTTTGCCTATGTAGATGATTTCCTATCTTTGGTAGTTGCATGCAGAGGAATTTGTATGTTTTTCTCCTGGCCCTTCCCTGTGACACTCGATGCCCTCTAAAGATGGGGCCTGAACTTCCTATGTATCCTTTTCTCCTCCCATTGAACCAAATAGAACCTGTAAGTGTTTGACAAATGATGAAAAATTACTGACAAATCATTTTGCTGTTCTGTAGATTGACTATATCAACAAAGAGAGAAATAAGGTAATTTCCAATCCATATACCAATTGAAATCTGTATATCCAGGCACCTCTTCAAACTTCTCTTTTCTGCGTGTCTTGGTAACCCTCATTTCCCTTTGCCAAGATTCCTCCTCTTTACAAATGTTCCTTTTCCTCCAGGTAATAATCAGGCAACAGACGCAATGCATCTCTACTTTTTATTCCTTACAACTCTTTAAATAGCCTATGCTTAGCAGAAGACCCCTGCCATTTAAAGCAATGTTTCTAGCATTCTTTACATACTGATAATTGCTTCTTATTGGAATGATGAATAATCAGTTCAATCAAACCTATATTCAATTTACCTCCCCAGTAAGACAGTCATTTAGGGGTAGGCTTCCCTCTTTCTTCCCTTTTCCTATTTAGAAAGTTTGTTTCTTTTAAGGTACATAGATGGTTTCCAGGTTCAATAGTAATCAAAAAAAAAGAAGTCTGAGTCTCCTGCCTATGACTGGGCTGTCTTAGGGTCAAAGTACAGAATACAAACTAGACTTTTTGTTTCATAAGGGCAGGGGAAGTTGTGTCTTGCTCTGTCATCTGCTATGTCTGGCCCACAGTAGACACTCAACGATCATTTATTGGTTGAGTAAAGAAATGCGAGGAATAAAAAATGAAGTAGTAAATCAAAGCACTACAGAATTTAAGCTGAGGTTACCAGGCCAGTTTTAGGAACATGGAATCGGAATTTTTAGAAGAGGGAAGCACAGGATTGCAGGAGTTGCAGTTACAAGAAAACTACTTAAAACCCTTCGATAGATGGATGTTTGTGCTGAGACCATCTTTTGATTAGATTGCTTCCTGCACAAGAAATACTGAATAAGAAAACCTGTGTCTAGAAGTTTAATACTAACTGGAGCTCTGAGATATACTAGCAGTGGCTAGAATTTATTTCTGGCCTACTTTATGCCAGCACAGTTTGCAAACATTACCTTGATCATCGCAACAACCCTACAAGGTGGCCATTAGTTTTCTTTATTTTCAGATAGAGAAAGTGCAATCAGTAAAGTTAAATAGCCTAACTAAGTCAGCTAGCTAAGTTTAGAATTTGGATTCAAATCAGATTATAAGTCTCGGTTCTTTCCCCTAACCACAATGCATCACACCAAATAAGCAACATGCCATAAACACCTAGATTCGACATATTTGTGGGTTTTTATAATGTTTTAATTTAAAAAAATGTCATTTTGTTTTGTTTTAGAGACAGGGTCTCATTTTGTTGCTGAGGTGTGATGAAAGCCTACTGTAGCCTTGAACTCCTGGGCTCAAGCAATCCTCCTGTCTCAGCCTGTTGTATAGCCAAGACTATAGGTGCATGCCACCACTACCAGTTAATTTTGTTCTCTTTTATTGGTAGAGATGAAGGTTTTGCTGTGCTGCCCAGGCTGGTCCCAAACTCCTGGACTCAAGTGATCCTCCTGCCTTGGCCTCTGCAAGTGCTGGGATTATAGTTGTAAGCCACTGGGCCCAGCCTTTAAAAATTTATTAATTGTGGTAAAATACCTACAACATAAAATTTACCCTCACAATCCATAAGTGGACGCTTCAGTGTTAACCACATTCACATTGTTGTGTAACAGATCTCTAGAACTTTTTCATCTTGCAAAACTAAAACTCTATACCTATCAAATAACTATTTCCTCTACCCCTAGTCCCTGCCAACCACCATACTACTTTTTTTTCCATGATTTTCACTACTCTAGATGTCTCCCATAAGTGGAATCATACAGTATTTGTCCTTTTGTGACTGGCATATTTCACTCAGCATAATGTCCTCAAGGTTCATCAATGCTGTATCATGCAACAAGATTTCCTTCTTTTTTAAGGGCTGAATAATATTCCATTGTATGTATATACCACATTTTAAAATTCATTCATCTGTCCATGAACATTTGGGCTGCTTTTACCTCTTGCCTATTGCTGTATGAATGTGGTTATGCAAATATTTTGAGATCCTGCTTTCAATTATTTTGGACATATACCCAGAAGTGAGATTGCTGGATCATATGGTAGCTCTATTTTTAATTTTTTTTGAGGAAGCTCCACACTGTTTTCCATAGCAGTCACATCATTTTACATTTCTACCAGCAGTGCACAAGGGTAGACAGATTTGTTTTTAAATAGAATAACTTGCAGTTTTAGTATCAAACTGACCAAATAGCTTAGCTTACAGTGTCTTGAAAATTAAATGCAACAAAAACTCTAGACCTTTTAAAGCCAGGTACCATTTAACTGTGAATTAAGTATTTACAAATATAGATGGATGGCCATCCCATTTTAAAAAGAATAAAAGTAGCAATCATTTTCCAAGAGACTATAACAAATAGAACAAAAAATAAAGCTCATGTTGTATCAGTGCGAAGGTATTAGGAAAAGTGTTCCTACTTCCTGAATATAAGTAGAAGCAGGTACATAAGTTGCACACTTACCCTGGTTTTGGCATCGATTTTAGCTCCTCGATCGAGCAGTAGTTTTACCATATTTGCATTTCCTCTTTTTGATGCAACATGTAAAGGAGTGATGTCATTCTGAGAAGAAGAGGAAAAAAAAAGTACAGATTTGATATTTTTGGTTTCAACAAAATGTTCCCTTCTAAACTTTCCCCAACATATCCCCATTTTCCCCTCTTCTTTTCTAAACATCCTTTATGAACAGTGTGCTTCCTAACACTTCTGACAGGAATTTTCTTCAGAAGGCAACTTTAAAAAGGATGAATTGTAAGGGAATCTGTGAGGCAGGGTCCAAGTTAATTTATTTCAGTCACTTGAGGTGACTGATGGTTGTTTTTTTTTTTGCTCAAAAAGCCTGCATTTTTAAGTCAATGTATTTTTCTATAAATGTGAGTGATACATACTGGCTAGTGAGTGGTTGACTAACAGGCTAATTAAGTCAGTACAGACTGAATTTAAAGGAGTGTCATATGACTTGGAGCCTTTCCCAGGTTCCGTTGGGAGCATCAGGTTGTCAAGGAGAGACAATAGGAACTCAAACTGGAAAATCTGTTACTTCTATACATAGTCACGTGACTTCCCATGTCCGTGGTGCTTAAATGTGTTTACAGGCATTTGCTAGCAGTCTCATGAAAACTGTAATTCTTATCTGACAAATATTTGAAGAATAGCCAGATTGTTAGGGTTATCTGAAATTCTAATTGTGTTCTCCTTGATTTCAGTGGAAGGCTACCATAGTTATTCTTCTCTCCAAGCATCTTACAGGCACTATGATTGTTTCCAGACTGTCAAGGAAACATATGCACACATTGAAAACAATTCCCTGATTTCTTGTTTTATTTTATTTTTTTTTCTTTTTAAGTGACAGAGTCTCGCTATGTTGCTTAGGCTGGTCTCAAATTCCTGAGCTCAAATGATCCTCTTGCCTCAGCTTCCCAGAGTAGCTGGAACTACAGGTGTGCACCCCCATGCGTGGCTTATTCTTGTGTAGCAGCAATATGAGTTTAAGTTCTGTTATTCACAAAGAATCAATTACATCATAAATGAACTAGGCTCACAGGGATTATTGATTTATAAGTTGATAACAGAAACAATATAGTAACTATCAAGTATTGATCACTTCCTACATGTCAGGGACTGTGCTAAACTCTTTACTATCTCATTTAATTCTCACAATCCTCATAATATCGCATATAATCTGAATTGCAATCCCCATTTTACACATGCAGAAACAATTGGCAGAACCAGGATTCAACTCTTCAACACTTAAACTTTTGAATGCATGATTTTAAAAACCACAATAATGAAAAATTCCAACATACACAAAGTTTGGGCAAAAAACCATAATGAATTTCAAGTGCTCCTTACCCTGGTTCAGTAAACACCAACCTTTTGCCAATATTATTTCTTTTATGCTCCCTACGGTTTTTTTTTTTTTTTTCCTTTTTTATCCTGAAGGAGTTTAGGAAGAGGAGAAAGAAAAATCTTGGCATCATGTTATTTTACCCATAAATACTGCAATTTATCTCTAACAGATAAGGACATCTCAAAAAATTACAATACCATTATCATAACGAAGAAAGTAAAAATAATTCCTTTATGGCACTCAAGACCGCCTCCATGTTCAAATCCTCCCATTATCTCCAGCTATCTCCATGAGTCTGCTCAAGTTGGAAGGTCGACATATTGCACTAGGTTGAAAGTCCTTTAAGTCTTTCTTAATCTCCACAGCTCCTCTATCCCACCTTTTTCCCCGCTGCGTTCATTTATGTATTGAAGAAACTGGGTAATTTATTGTGTAGACTTTTCCACAGCCTGGATTTGACTGATTGAGTCTTCATGGGGAGTTAACATGTCCTTTTCTCCCTGTATTTTACATAAACTTTTCTAGTTAAACGCTTTTAATGGTTGTAGGGTTAGGGTTAGGTTTACAACCTTTCCACAGATGGAAAGGTTGCATGTTCTCTTTGCTCACTATTCTTAGATGCTAAAATATAAATCTTAAATGAAAGAAGAAAGAGACCTGAGGAAAACAAATTTCTCTTAGTAATGCTGGTGGAAAGGAAACAGATTAATATTGCTGTTCCCCAGGGTGTAGGTAAACTTTTTCTGCAAAGGGCCAGATGACAAATATATTCTGTTTTGCAGGCCATACAGTCTCTTGTATCTACTGAACTCTGCCATTGTGGCATAAAAGCAGCCACAGGCACATGCAATATGTAAAGAAATGGGAGCGGTTGTGTTCCTAAAACTTTACTTACGAAAACAGGCAGTGGGCTGGATTTGCCCTGTAGGCAGTGGTTTGCTGACCCCTGCTCTAGGCCTACCAGCTTGCAGCTGCACAGCTTTCAACTGTGTATAACAGGTTACAAAAGAGGAACTGAAACTATAGGCTGTGCCATTGTGCACTCTGTGGTCTTTTTTGGTGTGGAGGACTATCTGTTGTGAGTGAAAGCTGGCAGAAGGAAATAAATTTCATGACAACTTTGAGATCTGCTTGCTTTTCTCTGTTTTCTGAGTACAAGTGTGTGCTGCTCTAGTGACTCAAGCGGCACAGTGGATGAATTCTAGAGCTGAGACGGCAGGTGGAGGGTCAGATTGGGAATAAGGGAAACACCAACCAATAGGAGAGCTCACTGAGCCCCAAGTGGGACGTGACATGAAGCCCTCATCACTTCCCGGCGTGCGTAAGGGCTGGCATGCCATTTCCCTTTAAAACTATGACCTCACTGGTTGAGAAAGACTTACTTAAACTTTACACGAACAGGCTAAGTTTAGTGAGAGGAAGAAATCTATTTCTAATTTCACTCTATTCCATATTTACGCACTCTCTCATACTGTGGATGTGGAGATGACAAAAAGGTGTCTTGAGTTTCTAATTCTCACATTTTCTCCACCTCTCCGGCCCTTCGTAGAGAAATACTTTATATTCTACAGCACTTAAACAGTGTTGTAATTTCATTTTACCCTCACAACAATCCACTGAAATAGGATAAATATCGTTAACCCCATGGGATAAAGAAAGTGGGGCACAGAACTGGTAATGTGCAGATTAGGAAACAGCTAATTAGAGGCAGAATCGGGATTAGAATTCGGGCTTCCAGACCCTCAGGCTGTGGTATTTTCAGGCAGGGTTCCGAAGACCTCTGTTTAAAAACCCTAGCTTCTCATCTCTGTCAAATGCAGCTGCCAATAAAATGCAAACAGCTTTTATTCCTGAGTCACATCGTGGATGTGCCTGTGAAGTAGAAACAAATCAAAATGAAAGTGGTACCTCAGGGCCACACAATGGACTACTCGTATTTTGATTCCTCAGCTAACCAATAAAAATGCATTATGCCCTACTATGAGTAAGGCTGTGTGTTGCATTTCCACTGTCTAAGCAAGCAACAGAATTATGCAATCCCAACATATCAAAGAAACTCAGTGATGTTAGAGCTAGAAGGCCTGCCTAAGAGAATCCTCGTTTGCTGCTGGTGAAACGTAAATTTGTACATTCTTGCTAGAATGCAATTTGGCAGTTTATATAAAGAGCCTTCAAATCTGTAACCATACATTAGGACAGAGTTTGGCTGCTGTGGTGGAAAGGGCAGGAATGTGGAGAAATATCCAGCCTTGAACCCAGGCACACACCCTAAAGACTGAGTCTGAGCCTACATGAAAGACCCCCGACCCCTAGCACCAGCCTAGCACAGAGTAACAAGCAAGAGTAGTCAACTGCTGAGGTAAGGCAGGAGTGTGGGGGGACCTCCTCTGTGCTGCAGGTGTGCAGAGAAAGCTCAGGGTGGAGCACTAACACTAAGCAAAATTCTCTGATGCCCCAGCCTCCACCCTAAGCAGAAGGCAAGATTCCACTAGAGGAATCTGAAGCCTGAAACAAAATGTAAACTCAGCTCAACTCCTGCCTAAACAGGCTCCACCTCTCACATTTGCAGCACAGAAAAAAAGTATGAGTATGCTCAGTTCCAGGCCAAAATATTATTTAACTCAATCTCTCCCCTTCTACACACAATATCCAGTGTTCTATCTAGTAGGAACCACATGCATGAAAAGATAGGGAACTGCAGCAAAGGCATGGGATTTTTAGCAAAGAGTCAAATGGAAAAATTGCAGTATCGGAGTGAATTCCTTTTTTGGGCTCCTCAGTAGACTTCACACAGTTGAGGCAAGATCCATTGAACTCAAAGATATGTCAATTTAAGTTATTTAAAATAAAAACATGAAGGAGAAAAAGGAGTGGAAAAGAAAGTACAGAGCCTCCAAGAATTGTGGGATGATACAAAACAGCTAATGAGAGCTGTATAAGAAGAGACAGAATGGTACAGAAGACAAATTTGAAGAGGTAATGAATGGTCAAGAATTTTCTTGGAATAATGAAAGGCAGAAAAATACAAACCCAGGAAGCTCAGGAGATACCAAGCAAGATAAACAATAAACAAACTGACCAACTAGACACAACAGTCAAATTGCCAAAAATGAAATATAAAGGGAAAATCTTGATGGTGGCCCGAGGAGAAAAGACACACCTCACACAGAGAACAAAGATAACAAGTAGAATGGACTCCTCATGAGAAATTATGCAATCCAGAAAAAAAAAAGTGACATCTTTAAATACTGACTGTCGAATAAGAATTCTACACCAAATGAAAATACCTTTAAAAAATTCAAGGAGTAATAAAGACTTTTTAAGATAAACAAAAGCTAAGAGAATTCATCATCAGCAGACCTAGAATACATAAAATGTTCAAAGTTCTTCAGACAGTAGGAATATGATAGTAAACAGAAACTTAGACCTGCACCAAGAAATGAAGGACTCTGGAAATGGCAAAAAATGAAGGCAAATAAAAGAGACAACGGATGGTCCAAAGTAAAGACAAAAACAATGAATCATGGGGTTTCTAATATATGCAAAAGTAACTTGTATGACCACAATCACACAGAGATGAAAAGGAGGAATTGGAACTATACTGTTGTCAGGCTCATACCATATTTGAAGGTATACTGTGATAATTTAATGACATGGAAAACATGGATATATTATTAAAGATATCAAACTATGACAAATAAGAGCAATTATT